TTCTTTCTTTCTTTCTTTCTTTCTTTCTTTCTTTCAACTTTATCTGTGCCATTTGGAGGCTGCCCGTTCAAGCACAGTCTGGGGCCAGCCGTGGCTTTGGGCAAAGTTCATACACAGAAGCTGGGCCTCCCTCCCTTTGGATCAGTCCTGTCTCATCAAATTCTATCCTCTGATTATTCAAGCCAGCAAGATGACAGACAGGGGGGCTGGGGTTGTGGCTCAGCGGTAGAGCGCTCGTCTAGCACAGGTGGGACCCGGGTTCGATCCTCTGCACCACATAAAAATAAAGGCACAGTGTTGGTCCATCTACACCTAAAAAATAAATATTAAAAAAAAGATGACAGACAGGGTCTCCTATCTAGGTTTTAGTCACCCCACGAGGTGCAGACTGGGGTCTTCCTTCAGGATAAAAGATGTAAAAAAAAAAAATCACCCCATGCCAACCTTCTTCCTCTCTCCATTATCTACCTGCTGTATTTACTCTCCGGTGTTTTTATGGAGTTTTTTTATTTTTTCATTTTAGTCACAATTACAGTTGTTTGGGGGAGGGTTAGACGGATAGAAGGTATAAACCATTAGAACCAGAGTGAGATCATAGATCATGTGTTCCAAGACGGATAACTCTGCCTAGGATGGGGAAGAAAGGTAATTCTGTTTCCCCCAGGTTAGGTAGAGGGAGAGATTAGGGAGGAGGAGGGGGAGTGGAAAAGAAGTGAACGTGTCCGTTTTTTAAAATTTTTTTTATTTGTTCTAATTAGTTACACACGACGGCAGGATGCATTTCGACTCGGTGTACACAACTGGAGCACAACCTTTCATTTCTCTGGTTGTACATGATTTGGTGTTGCACCTCCCGTGCCATCACACCCGTACATAGAGCAATAACGTCCATCTCATTCCACCATCTTTTCCACCCCCATACTCCCCCCTTTCCCTCCCTCCTCTCGGCTCAATCCAAAGTTCCTCCATTCTTCCCTGGCTTCCACCCCCACTATGGATCAGCATCCACTTATCAGAGAAAACATTTGACCTGCAGTTTGTTGGGGATTGACTTATTTTGCTTAGCATGATATTCTCCAACTCCATCCATTTACCTGCAAATGCCTTAACTGCATTCTTCTTTAAGGCTGAGTAATATTCCATTRTGTATCTATTGAAGAGCATCTAGGTGGGTTCCACCGTTTAGCTGTTGTGAATTGAGCTGGTATAACATGGATGTGGCTGCGTCACTGTAGCATGCTGATTCTAAGTCCTTTGGGTATAGACTGAGAATTTAAGTTAAATCCATTTAAAAAAATAAGTCCCAGTGGTAGAGCAGCAAGGGCTGTATTTGAAGCATAAAGTGAACCCCTGATACAAAAGCATTTGGAAAAAAAAAAAAGGAACATTGTCATTACATTAATCTTTTAGAGAGATCATGGCAGCTCTGAGATGGATATGGGAAATGGACAGGGGCAAAACCAGGGAGAAGCAACTAGTACGGAAGCCACAGCAATTGTCCAGGCTGGAGGCTGGAGGCTGGCCCAATCCAGACAGAAGCCAAGAGGAAGGCAGGGGAGGGTGGCTACTCAAAGGCTTTCTGATGTTTGATAAAGAAGGGAGAGGAGAGCTGGAAGACGGTGGTGGAGGGGAGCAGGGACAATGGGGATGTGGTCTCTTAGCAGCAGCTGGTATTTATAGGCTGCGGGCAAGTGCCAGACCGGATCGAAGCAAAAGGTATGCAGAGCTTGGCGACTGGTTGGATTTGAGAAGAAAGAAGGGGGAGAGAGGAATGAAGAGCTGCAGGCGGGTCCAGGGCTGTCTRGAGGGCGCGGCGGGGCTCCAGGGGAGGCTGGCTGCAGGCAGAGTCACTGTGGTCTCTGTTGGTCGCAGCACCTGGAAGGACAGCAGAGAGAATACGAGTTCTCTGGCCTGACCCCGGACACCCAGTTCCTGGGGACCACCATGATTCTGATTCCCACCTGGTCCAAGGAGAGCGCCCCCTATGTGTGCCGCGTGAAGACGCTGCCAGGTGAGTAGGAGCCAGAGGAGGGGGATCCTGAATTCTCCTCTGAACCCCCCTCCCCCTGCCTGGCACCAGGGCCAGGTTCGCAGAGCTCTGAGAACCCCGGGGGTTCTCAGTGTACTGTCAAGGCCCGTCCTTGCTGGTTCATGGCTGAGTCCACGGGTGGGTGGRTTTTCATAGCGAATGTTTGATCCCTCCCTCCAGCCTGGGTCTGGATCTCCTCTCTCCACCAGTTTGAGTACCTGGCAAGAAAAACTCCCCTTGATACCAACCCAGGTGACACTGGGGGAGAGTCTGCAGGGGGAGAAAAGAGAAGATCAAAGGATCCTCTAGGATCTCCCCAAACCAAAGAATAAGGATGACGATGGTGAAGGCTGGCTGGCATTTCTTCAGCCTTCACCAGGGACCAGGCACTAGGAAGTGCAGCCCTCCCAGCTGTCTGAGGCAGGTTCCSTCATCATTCTCATTTTACAGAAGAGGAAACTGAGGTTCAGAGTGGTTCGGTAACCTGCCCAGCTGGTGGAGAGGGATGGTGAAGCCGGTGGAAACGTTGCTTTGAGCCGCAAGGTTAGATCATGAAAGGGATGGACTGGGAAAAACCACCCCCGCCTGACCATCACCTTCAGATTTGTATTCGTAGGTGATTTCCGTTCCCACGGTGCCAATCTTCAGGCAGAGTTCAGTTTGAGAGTTGGACAAAGTGCATGGCCCTCGGAGGCAGCCGTGTTTGGAAGCTCAATTCGTCCGTTTCCCTAGATCCCCCAGAGCCTGGTTCCTCCACCTGAATCCTTTACAGAGGAGCGATCCTGGGGGGTCCGCCAGCTCTGGCCAGCACGGGGCATGTCCTTCTTGGGCAAGGGTCCCAGGGAGACCAGAATAGACCTTGGCAAGAAGAATCTAAAAAACGGAAACCAACTTTATGGGCACCGATCTGGAGGGGGGCACGTGTGACGGAGACGCTCCCCCCCGACCGTACTAGACACACACCACGTCCACCCCGGGCCCACCCCTGCCCTGCCCTGGGTTTTAAAAACAGGCAAACTCACCTTTCTGTTGGCCTGTCCTTACAGGATCTCTCTCATGACATCAATTTTTCTCTAACACTGTGGTGGGTTGGGGACACGGCTCAGTGACATTTATTCAGTACTGCTCTATTACCTCGGGTTGTGTCAAATGCTTTGCCTATAGGATCGAATCTTTAAAATAATCCTGCAAGTTGGGCAGGACCATTCCCAGTGCATAGAGGAGGATCTCTGGCTCAGAGAGGTTCAGTGGCTGGTTCATGACCACACAGCTGCTTGGTGAACCTAGATAGATTCATCAGAAGCCTGGGCTCTAACCACCACCTTGAACTTGGTTCATGACTAGTCCCCTCCATGCACACCTATTCCTCTGACTTCCATTTCAAAGTCATACCCCTTACTTTTGACCCTGTATCCTAGAGTCTGCTTGACCCCAGAGCCCAGAATCGCCACTGTATTTCTTCTCGGGATGTCTGTGGGGGTCACAGAGCCTGATCCCAGCACCTTGGTGCTGGAAAGTGATCTCAGGTTCGTCTCACCGCAGATCTTAACTTTACAGGTGAGGAAACCGAGGCATGATTGTGTCATGGATGTGAGGGTGAGCTGTAGATATGTGCAAGTCACTCTTGGCTTCTCCACTGAGGAGCTGTGTGATCTGGGGCAAGTCACTTAACCTCTCTGAGATTCAGCGTTGTTATCTGGAGGAAGAGGGTACCTGTATCCCTCTATGTTGCTATAACGATTTTCTGGCAGAACACAGGGAGAGTTCCCAGTATAATGCATGGCCCACGGGAGAATTCAGGTGCCGCTGGCAACTGTGATTAGTAAATGGTAGACCAGAGAGGGTGGTGTAGCAGAGAGGCAGCTCAGCATATCAGTGGCTGAGCCAGACCTCTGACACCCGACATTCCTCACTCCCAGGCTGGTGTTGACTCCATCCTGCCTCCCCCCAGGTGAAATGGCACGTGGAAAATGTATCAGGCCAGGGAATGTTCCAAGGCCCTCTACTGTCCCGGGACGCTAAGCAGGGGTTTCCAATGACATTAGGTATGTCACGTAGGGACATCCAGGTCCTGTCTTCTCCCTGGAGCAGCAACGGGGGTATCATGTGACAGGCGACAGGGCATCATTGCAGTGGGGAGCTGACCCAAGCCACACAGCCTGGGAGGAGCGAGGAGTGGGCTGGAAGTGGAGGTTCAGAGATTCCCAGGGGGCACTGTGACTGCTGGGCTCAGGGAGCCTGGTCATGAGCGGCCCAAGCTGAGGCCCCAGGGGTCAGGAAGAAAGGGGAGGTGACTTGGAGGGTCAAGACCCTGCGGAGTGCAGATTTGGTTTGGAGAACCCTCCAACCTCCTCTTCTTCCCTCCGTCCTTCAAAGTCCCGGTAGCACTGCGGGCAGGCAGTGTCACACCAAGAGCTGATGATCCTGTCCCAAAGATGCCAGGCCACAGACAGACCACCAGGGCCCCTAGCTGTCCCTCTCCTCCCCTTGCACAAGGGGCGATGCTCTCCAGGGTCCCTTCCTGAGCAGACTCTTCCCGGCCTCCGCCCCTGGCTTTGGTAGGAGGCCGAGAGGTCAGGCCCTCCCGTTGTCCCTTCTCGCCTCCCTCTGCTTCTGTTTCCTGCCAGGGAGGCAGGACGGCCCCTGGACCCAGGCAGGAGGGCCCCCGCCCCTTGCCATCTCGATGGCCCTGCTCTGGTGCCCACCCCCATCCGTGCCCCACCAGAGAAAGAGGCCAGACAGTCCACAGGACAGGTCCTCTGCCTCCTGGGGTCTCCCTTCCAGATCCCACCTGGGCTCCTGGGACCCTGGACTTCCTGCCCACGTGGMCCGGGCCTGCATGCTGTCCCGCAGACCCCTCCCTTGGGTCCTTTCCTGGGGAGGGCAGACACTTGCTCGTGGGCAGGCCCTTGGCCTAAAGGTGACTACTTGTGGGGACATGGATGAGCTTGGCCACCCACCTATGTGTGCCCGAGGCCACTGGCAGTTGTGACGAGCTGGCCAGGCTGGGGGTTTGCGGGGGGAGGACTTTCACCTGCGCATGAGTCAGCATCCGCCAGAGGCCAAGAATCCTGACTTTAAACCTGGTTCGCTTCAAAAGCAACTGTCTCGAGGTGGGAGACAGAACATCTTCAACTCACTGGGAGTGTGGCCTGTGGCCTTCCGCCTGGGATCTGGCCCCAGCCCAGTGGATAGGGAAGGTGGCAGAGGCTTCCCGCCTGGCCCCAGGGGCTGCAAGGTCCTTGCTGGGGCCGGGCCTGGCGGGATCCCAGCCTCACTTCCCCCCACCCTCTCTCCCCAGACCGGACGTGGGCCTACTCCTTCTCGGGGGCCGTCCTCTTCTCCATGGGCTTCTTGGTGGCCATGCTCTGCTACCTGAGCTACAGATACGTCACCAAGCTGCCGGTGCCTCCCAACTCCCTGGTGAGTCATCCACCTGGGGCCAGAGAGCCAGGGGAGGGTCCCAGATCTCCAGAGGGCGTGGGCAGCCCTGGTTCTCCCCGAGGTGTCCCCGGGGGGGCTCCCGGCCCTGCCGACTGGTGGTCAGGATGGGGCAGCAGGTGACCAGGAACGGTGACGCAGCCTAGAGAAGCCCTTGGGCTTGAGAGCCTCCAGGCCTGGGTAGGTGACGTCGGAACTGAGCAGCGGCCAGCCTGAGGGGGCTGTGGAGCTCCGGCCTCTCGAAATGGGCAGCCAAGTGCTGTCCCAGGGGGTCACAGGCTGGTAATGGCCCCATCTTTACTTTTTTTTTTAAAGAGAAATCAGAATTTATAATATGATTCTAAACTTATTTATTATAGGATTATAATATGAAATCTCCTAATTTTCAAATATTGGCAGCTAGTTTTTAAAAATGTACAGCCGTGTGTGAGTCAGACCACGAGTCCCACCTGCAGCCCCCACCCGGCAGCAGGGCCACCCCTCAGCCCTAACAGCGAGGCCACTGCAGAGCCCCCGCAGAGCCATCTGGGGCTCTTGGAGGGACCGGGGCACCCTGAGGGCATTTTGCCAGATGGACCATGTCCATAAGCCTCTCCTGGCCTCCTGTTTCCCACCCTGCCCACCTTGACCCTTGCCCACCTTGACCCTGTGGTCACAAGCTGCCGGGGGCCTGGGGCAGCTGGCACACCACATCCGGGTCCCGTGCTTCCTGGATTATCTCCCCCTGGAGAAGCCAGAGCCCAAGTCTGTCTCCAGGAGTTACCTGGACTTTAGACGTGGCCCTCGACACAGGCTGGGAGCCCCGTCCCTCCTTGGAGGCGCTGGGCCCCAGCACTCAGCGGGGATCCAGGAAGTGGGGGTGGGAGGGAGGTCTGCGCAGCTGGAAGGGCCCCCACGACTCCCCCGGGGCCCCCGCTGCCCAGGTCAGCATCAGGGGCTGAGGCCCCGCCCTAAGAGGTGGGCTGCTGTTGTCCCCGCACAGAACGTCCAGCGCGTCCTGACCTTCCAGCCGCTGCGGTTCATCCAGGAGCACGTGCTGGTCCCCGTCTTTGAGCTCGGCGGGCCCAGCGGCCTGTCCCAGCCCGTCCAGTACTCCCAGGTCGTGGTCTCGGGGCCCAGGGAGCCCCCAGGAGCCGCCCAGCTGCACGGCCTCCCCGAGATCTCCTACTTAGGGCAGCCAGACATCTCCGTCCTCCAGCCCCGCCACGCGTCACCTCGCCAGACTGTCTCCCCACCGTCCTGCACCCCGAAGGCCACCCCTGAGGTCGGGCCCCCGGCCTACACACCTCAGGTGGCCTCTGAAGCTAAAGCCCCGAGCTACGCTCCGCAGGCCACCACCAAGGCCCAGCCGCTCCCCTACACCCCCCAGGCCTCCCTGGACAGCTTGGCTGCTTCCTACGGGGTGTGCGTGGACAGCTCTGGAAAAGACTCCCCCTCGGGCACACTCTCGGGGCCCAAGCACCTCAGGCCCAAGGGGCAGCTCCAGAAAGAGGAGCCAGCTGGGAGCTGCCTTCCAGGTGACTTGTCTCTGCAGGGGGTGGCCTCCATGGCCCTGGAGGAGCTCTGTGTGGACGGAGCACCCGGCCTGAACGGGGAGCCGGGGACACYGCAGTACCTGGGGGGCCAGCTGTCCCTCCTCTCCTCCGTCCAGATCGAAGGCCACCCCGGGTCCCTCTCTTTGCACACTCCTGCCCTCTCCTGCTCCCCCTCAGACCAGGAGCCAAGTCCCTGGGGCCTGCTGGAGTCCCTGGTGTGTCCCAAGGATGAGGGTCTGGTGTCCAAGGCTGAGGCCAAGAGCCCAGCCCCTGGGGCCTCAGAGCTGGAGCCGCCCACGGAGCCGGGCTCRCTGTTCAAGGAGCTGGCCCTGACCGTGCAGTGGGAGTCCTGAGGGGGCCAGCAGCCTGCGGCTTCTCCTCCCCACCCCGTCACCTCCTGGGCTGTCAGCCCTCCCCTGCCCACCCCGCTGCACACTCTGCTGCCAGCCCAGGTGGGTGCCCCGGAAAGAACCAGAGGAGGAGGCCAAGGGCCCCCAGGGGAGCTGACGAGCGAGGGGAGGACTCCAGCCAGAGCATCTGAGGGTGCAGAGAGGCGTCTGTTCCCCGGTGATTGCCCGAGGAGGGACAAGGGCCTGCGACCATCGGCTGGGCGGAACCAGAAAACTTATACTTCTGCCAAGACCAGAGGCAGGGGCAGTGTAGCACAGTGGCAAGACACAGGGAAGGGCCGCCTGGGGCTCACTCCCCGGGGGGGCTCCCTCCCGGAGCCGCACTTTCCGGCTTATTTCCTCTGCTGGAGGTTTTACCCCAGGGAACCCCCAGGTCCCACAGGGAGGAGCCACAGAAACCTTCCTGCAGGCAGGACTTTCACGCTCCAACCTGAGAACAGGGTTTGAAAGGAACTTGGGGCCCTCTGGGCCCTGAAGAGGACACAAAGCAAATGGCACTCACTTCACAGCTCTGGGGACTTGGACTCAGCCCATTTGGGCTCAAAGTCCAGGCTCGCCAAGTAGCAGCAGCGCAGCTTCAAGCAGCCGATCCACAGCTCAGAACCTCTGATTCCTCATCTGTAAAATGGGGAGAGCACCACCTACCTCGCGGGGTTGTGGTGAGGAGGACATTAGTGTCCCTAGTAGTGCCTGGCATGGAGGCTGTGACCACTTCCTGTTGTGATTTTGTTAACTATCTGGTGGCCCCAGGAGTTGACGACTTCCTGGGTTCAAGTTGGCTGCAGATCACCTGGAATTGGATCAGGGGTTCAGAGGATCCAGATTGCCTCAGAGTTGCTTCAGGACAGGCCAGAGGACTGGACTTTCCAGAATGGACCGTGGAGGGACTGCAGGACCTTTTGGAAACAGACCAGAGACGAAAGATGCAGCGCTGTCTCCCTGCGGTCAGAGGCCTCCTTGTGCCTGGCTCTCAACAGCGCCCCCCGGAGGCCACRCAGCAGGCACTGGCCCCGGGCCTCGCCGCGGATCCCAGGAAGGGAAGGCTCTGTGCTCAGGGAACTGCCACCGCCTCACGTCCCTCTCACCCGAGACGCCCCTTACAATGAGGAATCCGAGGTCCAGAGAGGGGAAGGACCCCCGCCCAAGGACCCCCACTCAAGATCCCACTAAGGGGCCGGGACAGGRTCAGTGTCAAAACGAGGGTTTTCTGCCTCATCCAGAGAAGGAACTTTCCAAACCTGTTTGGGTTCTTAGAGGATGAAACTAGTGGGGCGTAAGGAGGGAAGGACCCCTAAAGGGGTCCTGCAGGGAAAGGCAACTCCCTGGTCACCCTCCCGCCCCAAACTTTAGAGAGACGGGCCTAAAGTCCCGTTGCCCCGGTTTGACCCTTCCCAAGGGTGCACAGTGTCTTTTCCCTTCACCCAGCTAGGTTTCCCTTCTCTTCGTGTCCCCCTCCCTCCCTGGGACAGGGTGACGGACAGCGTGTTCTTATCTGTGTGAAATTAATATTTAACATCACTTCAGAGTCACTGGCTGATATCTCTGTAACAGAAGGGGGTGAATCGCCATCCCCAGGGAGCCCCGGGGCCCATACATTGCAAATAAGTCTACTTCCTGTCCCTCGGGGCACCCGCGGCCAAAGGTTACCAGTCTTTACCTGGTTTACCAGTGAAAAACAGGCGGACAGCTGGATTGTTGTCTCCAGGTCAGGGGTGGGACTAGGGAGCGATGGGGGTGATTTTTGATGTGGTTGGAGTTGGGGCTTTGGTTTGGTTTTGCCGTCCTGGGCATGGAACCCAGGGTCTCGAGACGCCCAGGCTGGGAAAGGCTCTGCCACTGAGCCACACCCCTCTTCCCTACAGAGGCTCTTAAATCAAGCTCCATAAACACCTCTCCTAACTCGCAGGACCTGTGGGGTGGAGAAGTCCAGCTGTCTAGGCAAAGAGGTGGATGGTTTGGGTCTGCGACCCTCCACAGGCTGGTGCGGTCCCCACCAAGGGGGCAAGTTCCAGGACCCCCTCCCTGAGGCTCCAGCCCCCAGGCAGCTCAGGGCCATAGATAAGCTGGAACCACCCAGAAAATAGGGTGTTTGTGTACCCCAGCAACTGGCTGGGGGCCCTAGCATTCCTGAGAGTCCTGGGCTCTGACCCCATTACCAGGAAGCTCCACAGCCCTGCCCTGCCCAGTTTCCAAGGTGTCACCTGCCTACAGTCATGGCAGAGCCAAGCCCAGGAGTAAATGACTAGTAATACAGAGTTTCTTCTCACCCCCAGGGGAACCACCCCAAGATCTCTAGAGTACCACAAATGGCACTGAACCCTAGAGATACTTTTCCCCCRTATTACACACCCATGATAAAGTTTAATTTATAAGTTAGTCACAGTAAGAGATTAAGAAAAACTAATAATAAAATACAATGTTATTAAGTAAAATAAGGTTTACTTGAACACAAGCACTGCCATGATAGTCRATCTGATAACTGACAGCTACTAAGTAACTAATGGGTAGGTAGCCTATACCACAYGGATACCTTGGTCAATGAAATGATTCACACTTGGGGTATATGGAGCAGGATGGCATGAGGTTTCATTACACTATTCAGAACAGCAAGCAACTTAAATTCTATGAATTGTTAAGCTGTGTGTGGTGGTATACACCTATAATCCCTCAGGAGACTGAGGCTGGAGAATTCAAAGTTTGAGCCCAGCCTGGAAAACATAGCAAGATACTGTCTCAAAAAAAAAWAWAAWAWAAWWTWWAWWWWAAAAAAAMAAACTTGTGAATTGTCTATTTATGGAATTTTCCATTGAAGATTTTTGGACCACAATTGACTAGAGGTTACAGAAACCACAGAAAGTCAAACCACAGATCAGGGGAAATCACTGTAACCCCGTCACCTAGCAGTTTGCCATCTTGATCACATCCTCTTGCCAACCTCCCTTCCATGGTATTGGTGATGTTTTGCCAAGGAGGAAAATGTGGCTCAGAGAGGTGATTCGCCCCTGCCAGTTTCCCAGACGTGCTTCATCATGAAAATCCCCTGGGGAGCTACTAAAACTGCAGGCCCCAACCCCAGCCCAGCCCTGCTCCTGGAGAATCTAGATTCTCAACAAACTCTTCCAGACAGGCAAACTGAGGGATCTGTACGCTCACACCAACAGCACCTCTATCAACTGCCCCCATYCGCATCCCTAGAGACAGCCCGTCACCTCCTGGGATGGGGTGGGGAGCTGAGGCTGGGATGCCTACAAACCCCGCCCCCCACAAGCCCCAGCTCCAGGAACCCACGGAGGCTGCCTGAGTTTCCACCAGAGAACAGCGATGAACTCCTCCAGGGCACCAGGTGGCGCCATCAGCCAAAGACAGTTTGGTTGCTCTCTGGAAAAATCTTGGAGGCTGAGTCGTGGGTYGGTGAAGCAGCATTTAAGTGACTGTAGGTTGGGTCTTAAGTTCAGGGAAAGGAAGGAAGAAAGGAGGGAGGGAAGGAAGAAAGGAAAGAAGGGAGGGAGGGAGGGTAGGGGAAGAAGGAAAAAAGAGAACAAAGAAATATAAGCCAGGCACTATGCCAGTAATCTTACACATTTTTTTTTTTTTTTTTTTTTACTGCATTTAAGTCTCCCAACCATTTGGTAAGATAGGTAGCTCTGGTCTGAGTGTTGGTTCCCCCCAAATTCATATGTGGAAACCTAATCCCCAAATACAGTAACATGAAGAGGCAGGCCTTTGGGAGGTGATTGGCTCATGGGGGCTGCTTCCTTAACAGCAGGTGGATTGCCCCCATAAAAGAGGTTCAGGGAACACACTAGCTTCTGCTTCTTCCGTCCCGTGAGGACACAGAAGGGGCACCAGCTATGAAGCAGAGCCAGCCTTCTTCAGACGCCAAGTCTGCTGGCACCTTGATCTTGGCCTTCCCAGGCTCCAGAACCGTGAGAAACACACTTATGTAATTTACAAACGACCCATTCTAAGGCATTTTGTTATAGCAACCTGAATGGAGTTAAGACAGTATTTGTTCATTCGTTCATTTCTACTTACTTTTAATTTTTTTGCTGTGCTGGGGATTGATTTCGGGGCCTTACACAGGCGAGGCAAGTGCTCTACCACTGAGCAGCACCCCCATTCATTCATTCATTTTTAAAGGAACCCAAATCAAAGGCCCAGTTGAACACCAGGCACTATTGTTGGGGCTGGAGATAAAGTAAAGAGGACAAGTAGGCAAGGTCCCCACCGTCTTGGAAGTTATCCCAACTTGCAGATAAAGGAACTGAGGCCCAGAAGGCCAAGGCCCCCTCCTGATTAGTGGATAGAGGCTYAAGTTTGGGATTCAAACCAAAGTTTGTGCAACTCCAAGTCACCTTGTCTCAGCTACATGACGAGGGTTGGCCGTATTTACAGAGGTCCCAGTGACGAGTGGGTGCATCACCCGTGTGTGGTCAGCCAAGGGGTACTGAGGAGCCCCCCATGTTGGGCAGACATCTGCTGGACACGTGTAACGGAGGCTCTGAGTTCAGTCAGACGGTGAGTCGGGCTTCATTGTCCCCCTGTGCAGATCATCAAACCAGGATGGCTATGTGACTGCCCAGGGTCATCTAGCAAGGAAGAGGGAGACAGATTGGGAGCACAGTCAGACGTGGGGTGCCCCGGACGCTGGTGTCTACCCTGGTGGGGTCCCAGCAGGACGCCTGGGCGGGGAGGGGGCTGAGGACCGGTGCCGATGGCCCTGTCCTGCWGGACGGAGCAGCCTCAGCTGTGCAGATTCCCACTCGGCCCTCAGAGCRGGTGTGAGCCTTGGGAACCCATCCTGGCTGGGACAGGAGAAGACGAGAGGGACACACCGAGTGTTCCCACGGTGGCCAGAGGGAGGGACAGAAGCAGGGAGTTTAGGAAGGGCTTTTCCCCCTGGGAAGAGGGAGGCCAAGACTTGAGCCCAAGAGCTCTATGGT